GCTACCGGTACCGGCAATCGCAGTTACGCCCACTGCGAGGACATCGCCAGCGCCGTTGACTTCAAGAGGCACATCGAGGTGTTGCACTACCTGCTGCAGGCCTGGCCGGGTGAGCGGGGCCGGGGGGACACCTGCAACCCCCCCACACACACTTCGAGGGGGCTCTTTGCCCGGCTACCTCCTGGGCCACCATCGGTGGCAGCTGTTCTGGGAGTACATGACCCCCCCGCTGTGACCCCCACTGTGTGTCACCATCCCCAGCAGCTGCTCCCGGGCTCTGTGGCCCCTTCTCCTCTCTAGAATCAGCAGGCTACAGAAGCCATAAAAGTTTGTACAGAAGTCCTGCAACTTGAACCAACTAATGTGAACGCACTGAAAGACAGAGCAGAAGCTTATTTGCTGGAAGACTTGTATGAAGAAGGTACAGTTGTGTGCAGTTTGCGCATACTTTTTTGTGGGCGTTTAAAATGCAGTTAGTGTTTCAAAAAATTTTAATATGCACTTTGATTCTACACTACGTTGTTATCCCTAATCAGCATTGGTAGTTGCAGATTTACAAAAATATCTGCTGGTAATTTTGTCTTGATTAGTATAAGTGAAATGTACTTGTTTTATCTACGGCAGAGTTGTCGTTACAACAGTGGGCTATGTTCAGGTTGTTTTATGAGACTGTACAGCTTACTGAACTTAAACACATTTTATATAATCAGCAATGTCAGACAATTGCATTTAGAGATAAAAGGTAATTGTAGTTAGTGGTGTAAATCCATTTTAGTGTCTTTACATGGCAGCATGAAACAATACTGTTCTATCCACTAGCATGTGTTGAGGGCAGAGGAAGGTAACAGCCATTGCTTCACCTCCGTGGGTCTCTGTAGTGCTGCTAAGAGCAGTAAACTCGTTCTGCTCCTGAGGCCGCGTTTTCCATAAGCCATTTCCATAAAATGCATATTGTTACATGGGCCCCTCTACAGCCTTGGACAGCAGGGACTAAGTAATGGATGTCTCTGAGGACACCATTATGTTGTTACCTACCTCCTTCAAGAGTGCTAACTGCTAATGTGCTATTAAAAAAAAAAAATTCTTCAAAACTTAATTTGGTGAATTTCATTTCCACAAGAAACCAGGCTTAAGAAGGACATTTGGACAATCTGTCTCTTCCAGCCCCCATGCTCAGTCATGCAGCAATTTTGAAAGTACTGGGTTGTTTCAGTCAAATGTGATGAGGGAGAGGGCTTGTAGGCTTTAAATCTGCAGAATACTAGTTCCATTAATTTTAGTACTCATAGAACAATTTTCCTTTTCTGTATTCTGGTACTGGATCTTTCGCTTTACAACTGAACAAAAAAACCTTTTCTATTTAAACATTCATGAAGGCAGCTGTTCTCATTAATAGCACGCTCAGATTTTTTTTGTCTTTTTGAGAAATTAATCACTGAGAGATGAACTTCAGGAGGTGAGCAATATCACTTCAAAAATGAGATACCTATTTTGTTCTTTTTTTAGTCCTCCTTGTCTCAAATTAAAACACTGTATGAAGAGGACTGGTGTGGTTTCAGTCAGTCCTCTTCATCAGCCCTGCAGACTTTGTTACTTCGAAAGTGACCTGGTCCTAGTCCCTCTTTGCTGAGGCTGGCCAAGCCTTCTTCCCCTTTATAAGAAAAAGGGTGGAACACAACAGCATTTTGGAGAACTGATGGCCTTTCTACAAAGGGATTGCTTAAACAAAACCACAGCCAAACCCATAGTGTGAGGAAAAAATGTCTGTTTTTCTTAGGGTAATGTTTTTCCTTTTGATTGTTAAGAACTGCAGTGTCAACCTAAAAGTGAGGCTCAGGAAGATTTTGCAGTGAGGAGGCCCCCTTTGGGCATTGCCCCATCTTTTTCTGTACTTAAGTACAGCGGAAGTAAGCTCAATCAGTGTTGGGAAAAGTAGACTTACAAATGAATTAAAAAAACCAAAAAAAAAAAAAAAAACACCAAAAAACCCCTTTTTATCCCCCCAAATTAACCCACTGCCAGTGTTACAGGGGAGGAGGGGTCCCCAAAATATAACACCCCCCCCTCCCCAAAACCAGCCTTGCTCAGTATTAGCCTTAAAGGAACCAGCTGAATGTGAAATCACCGGCCCGGCCGGGCTGAGCCACCAGTGTTTAAGCGCCCGGGCAGAGGGGGCGCAGGTGGGTCAAGGTGACAACGCTGTCCCCTTTGTCCCCCACCCCAGGGTGGCCTGACACCCCCTTCCCCTCGCCCTGCCACCGCCTTGTCACTGTCACCAGCAATAAACGACACAAGCTGCACTCGCCGCCGGGGCTTTGTGCGTGCGTTGGTGTGACGCCGTCCCCGCAAAGGGCAGGGGGGCAGAGGGGGTGACAGTCCCCAAAATGTCACTTAGGGTGTCGCCACCCAAATTGATGGCACTGGGTGGCGGGTGTGGACAAACGGCGCTGCTTTATTGCCGGGGACACGCACAAGTTGTTGTCCCCTGGGTTGGGTGTGCAGCACCGGTGTCACCCAAACCCACCTTCCTCCATCCCCAGCCCCACCTCCCCTGGCTGGGGACACAGCTGGGACATTTTGGGGACATTGTCCTTAAACGGAGATGGAACCATCGCGGAAGTCGGTCTTGCCGATGAGGGCGTTGATGAGGACGGGGCGGCCTTGGCGGCACGCTTCCTGCGCGGCACGGAGGACGGCGTCCAGCCGCTCGCGGGCAGGGCGGCCCACCACCAAGGCTTTGCCC